TACCTACAATCAGTCGTGGTCCAGAAGTGGGTGATCCTCCTCCTGACATAGCATCAGAAGGTCACACGGAGCCTAATGCTACATCACAGGCCCAGGTCATTCACCTTCCTTCATCTCATCACATAAGCATCTTATCATCTCCCATTACAGGAGGAAGGGTGAGTACAGCACAATAAGATGTTTTGAGAGAGAGGGAGGGAGCCTACATTCACATCACTTATAGTATATTTTTATAATTGTTCTAATTTGTTATTGTTGTTGATCTCTTATTATGCCTGATTTATAAATTAAACTCTATCATAGGTATGTATGTATGTATGTATAGGAAGAAATGGGAGTATGTATAGGGTTCAGTACTGTTCAGGCATCCATTGGGAGTCTTGGAATGTATCCCCTGTGGATAAAGAGGGATAATTGTACAGCTTTGTGGGTGTGAATTGTTATATTTGAAGTGAATTTCTTGTAAACAACACATAGTTGAGTCATGTGTTTTTATCTGCTCTTTTGATCTGTCTTTAATTGGCATATTTAGGCCATTTACATTTAATGTAATTTTTGGTATGTCAGGGCTGCCATTGTATTGCAGTTTTCTGTTTGTTCTCATTTTTTCATTTCTCTGTTCTTTTTCCTGCCTCCTGTGTGTTACTTGACAATTTAAATTTTGATTTATCTATAGTGTTTTCTCATGTATCTCTTTGTAGGTTTTTAGTGGTTGCTGTGGGTGTCACATTATACTAGGTGTCACGTCATAACTAGGACATGCACGTGGTTAGCTTGAATGGATACGGTGAAAGTGGTTGAGCCAGTTCACAAGCCCACTAGCAGAGTATGCCACTTCCTGTTGTTCACCAACCCTTAATGTTATCACTCTGTTTATTCTGGGTATTCTGGTATATAATATAGCATTGTGGTCTTTTTTTTTTTTTTTTAAGATTTTATTTATTTATTCATGAGACACAGAGAGAGGCAGAGGCAGAGGGAGAAGCAGCCTCCCGGCAGAGCAGGGAGCCCCTTGCAGGACTCGATCCCAGGACCCTGGGATCATGACCTGAGCCGAAGGCAGACGATTAACGACTGAGCCACCCAGGCGCTCCTGAGTAGGGCTTCTTTAATTTCTCTTGGTAACATGTTGTAATTCTCTGTGCGGTGGTCTTACACATGTTTCATTAGGTTTATTCTTAGGTGGTTGATATTTTCGTATTATTTTAAATGGTATCTTTTTTATTGAAACTTTTTACTGAGATAATTGTAGATTCACATGCAGTTGTATAAAATAATTTGAAAAACTCCTTTGTATACTTTGCTCAGTTTTGTCAATGGTGACATTTTATAAAACACTAGTAGAACATCACTGCGGGACATTGATATTTATACAACCCACTGATCTTACACATTTGTTTGGTTTTGCTTGTAGTTGTGTGTGTGTGTATTAAGTTCTATACTGTTTATCATCTGTATAGGTTCATGTATCTACCATTACAGTTGGATCCTGAACGGTTCCAAAACAACAAGAGTCTGGGGCGCCTGGGTGGCTCAGATGGTTAAGCGTCTGCCTTCAGCTCAGGGCATGGGTCCTGGGTCCTGGGATCAAGCCCCGAGTTGGGCTCTGTGCTCAGCGGGAAGCCTGCTTCTCCTTCTCCCTCTCCCTGCCTGTCTGCTTACTTGTGATCTCTCACTCTCTTTCTGTCAAACAAATAAATAAAATCTTAAAAAAAAAACAAAACAAAAAACCAACAAGGGTCTTTTGTGTTGCCCATTTGTAGCCACTCCCACCTTCCTCCCACCTCTGCCTCTTCACCCATCCCTAGCCCCTGGCACTAATCTGTTTCCATTTCTAAAATCTGTAGTACATTCCTTGTTCTTGCAGAGTGGTGTTCCATGGGGTAGATGGACCAGGTGTTTCACCAGTCATGTGTTCATGTACATCTAGGGTGATTCCAGATTTTGGTGATTATCAGTAAAGCTGATATTCTGACAGTTTATCTTTCTGTTCTTTTGTTTTATCTGTGTACAGGATCATATCATCTGTGATTAATGACAATTTTATTTTGTCCTTTATAATTCTTACACCTTTTATCTCTTTTTTTGCCTGATTGCATTGGCTAGAACCTTTAGTACAATGTTGAATCGAAGTGGTGATATTGGGCCTCCTTGTTTTATTTATTACCTGAGAAGAAAAGCTTTTGACATCTTATAGTTAAGTATGATGTTTGTTGTGGGGTGTTTATAGATACTTTTTAATCAGAAATAAGGGAATTTTCTTTATTCCTAGTCTTTTTAGTTTATAACATAAATGGTTGTTGAAATTTATCAAATGTTTTTACTCTCTTGGGGGCATCTGGGTGGCTCAGCCGGTTAAGCGTCTGCCTTCAGCTCAGGTCATGATCCCGGGGTCCTGGGATTGAGTCCCATGTGGGGCTCCCTGCTCCGTGGGGACCCTGCTTTTCCCTCTCCCTCTGCCCCTCTCCCTCTCTCTCAAATAAGTAAGTAAAATCTTTAAAAAAATGTTTTTACTCTCTATTGAGTTGATCATAGAATTTTTCTTTTCTGTTCTGTTAGCAGGCAAATACCACTGATTGTTTTTCTAATGTTAAACTAGCCTTGGTTTCATGGTATGCACCCACGTGGTTGTGGTGCGTTATGGTTTCTTTCATGTGCTGAATTTTTGCATCTGTGATCATCAGTGAGATTGGCTTAATTTGCCTTTCTCATAATGCCCTTATCAGGTGTTTAGAATCAAAATTTTATGTTCTTATATAATGATTTGGGGCGTATTCTTTCATCTTACGTTCCCTGGATGAGTGTATATAAGATTGGAATTATTTTTCTTTAAATGTTTGGTAGAATTCAATGGAAAGGTCATTAGAGCCTGGAGTTTTTTCTTTTCTTTTTTTGAATGGGCTCCATGCGGTACCGGATGAGCAGTCCGGAGCAGCTTCGTGCACAGCCCTTCTCTCAGGGTATTTGTGACATATTAGCATAAAGCCCCCTACCGTGCAGCAAACCTCCATCAGCCCAGGGGCCTCATAGGGTCCCCACCACTGCCTCATGGGACTTCCCTGTGCTCAGGTCTCTGCTGTCCTTGGAGAGGTCTTTCTTACAACTTTTTCTAGGTTTTTCCATAATTTATGCTCTGTATAATTGAAAATTCATCTTTCTCATGTGAGTTCTTAGGGGCAGCGTCTCATTGGTTGTCAGGCTTGTCAGGGTGTGTTTGATTTCAGGTGATTCAGTTCTTGAAGAGGAAGCACGGGTTCATCAGCCTGGTGTTGAAGCACATCGGCACCTCGGCCCTCATGGACCTGCTGCTGCGCCTCGTCAGCTGCGTGGAGCCGGCTGGGCTCCGGCAGGACGTCCTGCATGTGAGTGTGTGGGCCCCTTCCTCCCCAGGGCCCTGTCCCTGTCCGCGTCCGCCGGTGCTCTGCAGGCTCTCTGAGTGCACAGTGAGTGCCTGGCTCAGGGAGGCCAGAGTTGGGTGAGGGAGCTCAGAGAACGTGGGAAGGTCAGCACCCCAGGCTTTCCATCCCACGTGACTTTCTCCCTGTGGGGTCGTCAGGGGCTCTTGTCAGGCTTGTACTTGAGCCTGGGCCTGGGCCTGGGCCTGCAGTCGGCACCTTTTCTGCTGTACTGCCTCAGTCTACCCAGAAGCAAAGAGCAGAGTGTTCCTTTCCCCCTGACACTCTGGCCTCTCCCGCTCTGTGAAGAAGCAGAAGAGGGCTTTCCTCACCGCCCCCCAGGTCCTGGTGCCCCTGTGGCCTCAGAGCAGGAGTTCTGTCAGGTCCTGGCTTTATGAGGAAGGCATTAGCTGGCGGGTTCCATGCAGTGAAAACAGTAAAGACCAAAGCAGGCCTGTTTTTTGTCCCAGGGTCTGTGAATGTGTCTGTCCTGACAGGCTCCCAGTAAGAGGAGTGCTCGTAGCTCCCTGAGGGCTTTCCCAGAAAAGAGGAGGATTCTCATCTCAAAGAAACCAGGAAATCAGTGCTGGATAAGCTGTTCACTGTCGTTGGGCAGGTTTTGTTTGTAATGCAATTTAAAATAAAGCACTGGTCCTTCTTGCCCATTTTCCAGCTCCTGGCGTCAGGTGAGGCATCATCTAGGTGGCACTTCGCACCCTTAGGTTCATTATGGAGCTGCCTCCCACAAAGACTTCATCACGACAGCTGACGTTAGGCAGTGAGTGCAGCATAAACATCAGCTGTTAACGGCAGGAGGCTCGCATAAGCTCGATGCTGAGCAGCCACGGAGGCAGATCTTCCAGTCTGGGATAAGGAAGTGCACTGGTCTCCCCTGGGCGCCCACCGCCTTTGTGCCTTGAACGGTGCTGGGCACTCAGTCCTCCCAGCACTCCTGCAGCTGCACCAGGCCTCTGTGCTTCTCCTGCTCTTGGAAAGGCCCTGTTGCCACAGAGAGCGGAGCATAGCTGGGCTCCACGTGCAGCCAGGCTCTGCACTGCGGGGAGAGCCCCAGCTCCAGCCCCTTCTGTCTTCTGAGATATCCTGAAGACGGTATGTTTAAGAGTCTGGCACTGGGACAGGCGGACCATGGTTCTCTCCTTCACTGAGTTTGGGTCACTCCAGAATTTGATGACGATTTTTTCTTTCTGGGTCTGGGTGGACACACATTGTTGGGCAAAGACTCTCTGTCTCTGGAACCTGGCTCGTGGATTTCTTCGCACCAAATGACTTCCCTTCTGTTGAGTTAGACATGAACAGTGTCATTGACAGGCCTCTTTTTCCCTTTCAGTGGCTTAATGAAGAGAAGATCATCCAGAGACTCGTGGAATTGATCCATCCGAGTCAGGATGAAGATGTGAGTATAGCTCCCACGGAGCCCGCCTTCTATAGAGCCCCCCACTCGGGGCTATTGGAGAATGCTCTCTGCTGCTCTGGGGGCAAGTTGCTCCTTTCCTCAGATGAGGACCAGTTAGACACTTTACCTCCTTTAATCAAGCACTGACTTCTAGACTATTTCTTTTCAGTAAAAAAATAAAACTACATTTTATAAAAAAACAACGAAGCTGAATTAGTTATCTCATCTCTGGCTGAGTAACAAATTAAAACTTAGTTGCTTATAACAAAGTATTTTTTATTTCCGTTTCTATGAGTCAGGGACATGGACATGGCTTAGTGGGTGCTCTGCCTAGGGTCTGTCACAAGACTGTGGTCATGTCAGGGCTCAGCAGGGGAGGGCCCGCTTCCAGGGTCACCCGTGGCTCAGCAGGACTCCGTTCCTTGAGGGCGCTGGACCTATCCACAGGGCAGCTCTTGGTGCTGCTGGCTTCCATTGGAGTGAGCGAGACGGAAGTCATTCTTCTGCAAACTCATCTTAGAAGGGACAGTCTGGGACACCTGGGTGGCTCAGTCGGTTGGGCATCTGCCTTCGGCTCAGGTCATGATCTCGGGGTCCCGGGATCAAGCCCCACATCGGGCTCCCTGCTCAGTGGGGAGCCTGCTTCTCCCTCTGCCCCTCCCTCCACTTGTGCACTCTCTCTCAGATAAATAAAATCTTTTTTTTTTTTTTTTAAAGGGACAGTCTGCACTGTGGCCGTATTCTGCTCTCTTGAAGGGAGTGGCTGGGTCCAGCCCATGCTTGAGGAAGTGGGATTTACGAGGGCATGAGCTCTGGGAGGAAGGCCCCCCTGCCCATGTAGAAGCATGCAGGATGGCAGTGGGGCTTCCCTCTTGGCCCCCTGCCCGCTCCCTGCAGGAGTCACTGTTGAGAGTTTGGAGTATATCCTGATAAGCCTTTTTCGATGCATGACAAAACTAAACACGGTTGCTTGCCCTCAGCAGTTGGAGAACAGTGGTGCCGACTGTGTCTGAGCCTTTGCTGCGGCCTGGCCACGCTGTTTTCTGTTCCTGTCTGTCCCCGGGGCTGTCAGACAGCTGGGCACGGGGGCCTGTGCTCCCGACTGAGGAGGGTGGGTGCCCCTCCACTAGCATGAACCCTGTGGCCTGACTGGCCTGCTCCCCAGCCCAGAGGCAGGGGTGAGGCCCCAGGGACCTCCGGGCTGCTTTCATTTCTTCCTAAAATAGTCGTGCACGCACTTCCTTTAGCCCAAAGTTCCCACAGCGTGCATGTGAGGGCTGTGTGTTTTGATGCTCCCGGCAAGGAGCCAGGGGATATTTCTCTCTAGTCAGTTCATCTGCATCACTAAACACCCCACATTGTTGGAAGTGCACTGTCCAGATTTTCACCGGTTAAGGATTAGTGTTGCCCTAGAAGAGTCGAGGCCTCCTGCTTTCTCTATAGCATCTTGCCTGTTTCCATTAGCTTCCAGGACTCATTCTGAATGTTACCAGCTATGATTTAATACTTAATATTTTAAATATGAATTTAAAACACAGTGTCAGTAACGTGGTCACATATGCAGCATATCTCAAAATGGCTCAAGGGATGGAGCAATGTCTGTGTGGTGTATTTGACCCTTGAGAGAGCCCCATTTGGACTTTGGGGGATAGTTCAGTTCATCCAGAAGGTCTGACCAGACTTGCATCCTGACACCAGAAAGGCCAACCAGGCAGCTCTGAAATGGACTGGTTTAGAGAGTCCAGTGTCCTTCCAAGAACTGAGCAGTGGGGTAGCTCCCACTGTCCGGGAGGCAGCTCTGCTGGACTTTCTCCTCAACCCTGAGGGGAGTGCGGCATCTCCTTTTCCTTCCAGAGACAGTCCAACGCCTCTCAGACCCTCTGTGACATCATCAGGCTGGGCAGAGAGCAGGGCGGTCAGCTGCAGGAGGCTCCGGAGCCCGACCCCCTCCTCACAGTGCTGGAGTCGTGAGTGCTGGCTGTGCTGCGGGTGCCTGCCTGGGTGGGTGCAGGGTCTTTCTGCGTCCTTAGGAGGTCTCCACGCCCTGCTCTGCGCACCGGCAGATGCTGCCGCCTCCGATTCAGATTCTGACAAGCTGGCTATGAAATACCACATCCAGTTAACTTGCTAGAGCTGTTTCTCACGGGGAGGGGCTCCAGGGGTCTCCTGCCAGGTCCAGTGACTTGTGACCAGCAGGGGCAGGAGGTCGTGAGAGCCCTGGGTGCCTGGCCTGGAGCCTGAGCAAAGCCCTTCTGAGTCTTAGGGTGTCCCTCCTCCACGGAGGGGAGAGACAGTCCTTTGGGCTTCAGGCGGTGCGTCTGCTCCAGCAGCAGTGAGCTCTGTGTGTCTGACAGGCAGGAGTGCGTGGAGCAGCTTCTGAAGAACATGTTTGACGGAGACCAGACTGAGAGCTGCCTCGTTAGTGGGACTCAGGTGTTACTTACCTTGTTGGAGACAAGGCGGGCTGGGTGAGTGTCATGCGTGAGTGAGTGCTGAATGTGACGAGTGGCTGGATGTGTGGTGGTTTTCATAAATTGTTAATTATGTAAGTAATCACATGGGTAGACTCTCCTTGTTGAAAAGGTAAACGTATGGCTCCTTTGACCTTTGGCATCCATCATGTTCCCGCCCCAGTCCGAAGGCACCGAGGGTCACCAGCTTCCAGAGTGTTCATAGATGTGTCTGTGGAATAGGTGTGGCCAGTGAGTTTCCCTGCGGACTGTCCCAGCGTGTGGGGTGTGTGTATGGTGTGCGTGCCCCTGCGTGGGGCGTGAAGTGTGCGCGTGTGTGCGTCTGTCTGTTCTACTCTGTCCCCTCGTGTACGGTGGTGGTGGCCTGTCTCCTGGGCTGACTAGTTCTCTTATTTCCTTGTTCTGGAGGGAGCTTCGTCGAAGCCCCAGCATTGATAAACTGGACTTAACAGCAACAACAAAAGAACAAGAAAATGACAAGAAATTGAGTTAATGTTGGTAGTGAGATTATTAGCAGTTTTTCTTTCTCTCTAGGACCCAGTACGTATCTATTAGTTTATTACCTAAAACTAGAATGATGGTGCAGTCATTGTTTACTCTAGTTAGGCCACCAGAATATTGATTGTTTGCATCTTTGTGAACCCAGGAAGCCTGGTCCTTTTCTGTAGGAAGTGGGGGCTCTTCTGAGGGCCTTTCCCAGCCTTGGCTGTGGTGAAGGGACAGCATGAAAATGACACATAAAACAGAGATGAGGGGCACCTGGGTGGCTCAGTCAGTTAAGCGTCCCACTCTTGGTTTTGGCTCAGGTCATGATCTCAGGATCCTGGGGTCCAGCCCCGTGTTGGGGGGGGTGGTGTCCACGCTCAGCGAGGAGTCTGCTTGGGATTCTTTCTTCTTCCCTCTCCCTCTGCTCCTCCCCCCACTTGCACTCTTTCTCTAAAATAGATAAATAAAATCTTAAAAAAAAAAACCAAAACACCCAAAACAGAGATGAGCCAGCTGATTCTCTTTTTTATTCTTTTTTTGTATTTAAAATGTTTTTCTATAATGGTCACATATTACTCTTATAACTGAAAAAAATTATTTATATGAAGATCTCTGAGAAATTAGTTGGAAAAAGCCGGAGGGACAGTGTGGAGTCCTGTCTCCTGTTTCTCAGCCAAGGAGTGGGAACCATGGTGGCTATTTCCAAAACAAGGGGAGGGGGTCGGAGATGGTCCAGGGAGCGAGAGGTGCCGTCAGCCCGACGGGGGCGAGGGGCCTGCCCTTGGCCATCACCTGGGAGCATTTTCTAAAGGCCAGTGGTGCCTTTCTCTTCTCTCTGTACCAGTCACCAAACCACCCTTGAGCCGATGACTGGAGGAGTTGGGGGGCGAGGTGAGACAGAGGATGGGGCGCATCCCGCGTGTCTCCATCTGCTGTCCTCGTCCACAGGACAGAGGGCTTGGTGGACTCCTTTTCTCAGGGACGGGAAGGGCTGTGTACTGTCAGCAGCGGTGTACTGCACGGCATTGAGCCACGGCTGAAGGACTTCCACCAGCTTCTGCTCAGCCCGCCGAAGGTAGGTGACCCTGACCAGCTATTAGGGACCCATGCAGCCATTGTAGGCAGGATGGTTTGCAAGCAGAGGACCCTACTCCCCAACTTGAGAACCACCGGGCAGATGCCAGAAGCATGTTTTCACACCCTCATCTGCTGAGTATCCATCTCTGCTCTGAGGTAAGGCCTAGGGGTTGGACATTTTGCAGCCCCCCCGCCCCATGACTCTTGTGCTCTGAAATAGGGGTCATCTGAGAGCCGTTTACCAAGTTGAGGTCTGGCCTCCAAGTCAGGGACACCAGGCCAGGGGTCAGGGAGGGTCCCAGGGGAGCCCTTTGCTCAGCTCAGCAGCTCTGGGCAGCACTTGGGTCATGCGGAGAAGGGCTCAGTCGCTTAGCCGCCATCCGGTCTCAGTCACGGCCCCCTTTCCCTTTCCTGGGTGCTTCTTAGTACCCACCGTGATTTACTGCACAGCTTATTTTATTTATCAACTTACCGTCTGCCTCTCCCACTAGAAAGTGAGCTTCATGCAGGTAGGGATTCTGGAACATTTGGTTAACGAGAAGGTGGACACGTCATGCTGCCATGCATGGGGTCAGGAAACACCTGCGTCCAGTGTGACAAGGCCACTGTTACCCGTGTCCTCTGAGAGTCTTCGTGGGGTTAGCTCAGGGTCCTGAGAGAGCTGGCCCCATCTTGCACATGTCTCATGAGCTGAGGGGCACATCTCTTTGCCTGGTTTGCTGAGACCAGACAGCCCTGGGCTTCTTGGGGCAGTGGACCACCATTGCTTGCTGTTTTGTGAGGCCCTGAGGGGAGTGGTGGGGCTCCTAACCCCGCTGACCCCTCGCTTCCTCTTGCAGGCAGTGCTGCCCTGACCAGCCTCCACACACAGTCCCACGCCTCCCCAGGCTGGGCCCCTTCGAGCAGCTAGCACCAGAGCTAAGAGGAGCCAGCAGTGGTCATGCTGGTTGCAAGGCTCTAACTGGGTGGTGCTTCTTTGTAGAAAACAGCAATCCTGACCACCATCGGCGTGCTGGAGGAGCCTCTGGGGAACGCCCGTCTGCACAGTGCCCGCCTCACAGCCGCGCTGCTGCACACAAACACGCCCAGCATCAACCAGGAGCTCTGCCGGCTCAACACCATGGGTTTGCTGCTGGTGAGCGGGCGGGGCCGTCTGCGTGGCCATCTGGTCTGCAGCAGGTGGGCAGACCGGGCAGTGTCCGTCAGAGGCAGGCCCTGGACCTCAGCATACGCACAGGGGTCTGCCCGAGGGGAGGCTTCGGTTCTCTCCCGGAACAGGTACAGTCTGTGCCCAGAGACTACTTCCCGGATCCGTGCCGGGGCTGACGGCACTGTTGCCGCTGAAGCACGCTGAGTAACAGTGGGACAGGCCTTGCCGTAGGCTCGTGCAGAATTGGTCTGGAGGCACAGGGCAGATCTCTAATCCAGTTTGAGGGAGTGGGGAAATGACGGTCCATCTCCTTTCTGCCTTCTGCCGAAGATAGAACTTTCATTATAGCTCTTCAACATAAAGCGTTCTAGGATAGCAGCTCCTGGTCACCCACTGTGGAAGGTCACCCTAGCAGTTCTTGCCCAAGCCAGTGGGAAATGGCCCTCTCCTCCGCAGATGCCTCTCAGTTGCCCCCAGGACAGCCTTGGGGCCTGAGGGAGAGGGGCAGGCAGGCAGGGCCGGCTGTGGGCAGCTGCTGTGGACGGAGGGTGCTGACAGGGTGGGGCATCACCCTAGGTGTCAGCCATGGGTAGATGCAGTCTCCAGTCTTGTCTTCTGCCTTTCTGTAGGGCCTCTGCTCCCAAAGAGCTGAAGTCTTCTAACATTTGAATCCTTATCCCAGGAGGAGCCAGCCTTGGGACTAGGCCTGAAGTACTATTGGTTTCTTCCAGTGTTTGGACCGTGAGCCCAGATACGGATCAGGGGGTTCAGTTAGAAAAGGCCTCCTTTCCTTTTCCTTCTCTCTCACCCCTCTTCCGTCTCTATCACCCCTCTTTCTGCTTTTATTTTACTGTGGGAAAATATATATAACCTAAAATTTACCATTTTTATGATTTTTAAGTGTACAGTTCAGTGGCATTAAGTACCTTCACGATGTTATATGACCATCACCACTGTCTTTTTCTGGAACTTTCTCATCTTCTCAAACAGGAACTGACCAGTAAGCAGTCTATCCCCACAGCCCCCTCCCCGGCCCCGCCGTCTGCTCTCTGTCCCCCTGGGTCTGACCACTGCAGGTGCCTCCTAGAAGTGGAACCAGACAGGATTTGTCCTTCTGGGTCTGGCTTGTTTCAGCACAGTGTCCTCAGCGCTCCCCCGGGTCGTGGCAGGTGTCAGCAGGCTGAGTACTACTCCACGATGCCGATGGCCACATTTTGTCTGTCCCTCCGGCCGGCGGGGGACAGCGGGGTTGCTTCCACATGTTAGCTGTTGTGAGTAGGTGCTGCTCTAAGTACAGCTGGACAGTACCTCTCTGAGACCTGCTTTCATTGCTTTTGGGTGTATGCCCAGAAGTGGGATTGCTGGGTCAGAACGTATTTCTGTGATTAATTTTTTGAGGAGCCTCCACACTGTTTTCCACGGTGATTGTACCAACTTACGTTCCCATCAGCAGTGGATGGGGGTCCAGTTTCTCCACATCCTCATCAACACCTGT